ATACACTACAACCAGCGTGCTTACCGCAGAGGCAAATCTACGGAAACAGCCCTGATCAGTGTTATTGTTAGCGTCGAATAAAAGCTGGAGGATAAAGAAATAGCTCTTTGTCCTTTTCTAGATATCGAAGGCGCCTTCGACAGTATCCCCAAACATCACTGCTGGTTGGGGGCCTGACATCTAAAAGTGTTGACCCACAACCATCAGGTGGGTGAAGTCGATGCTCCCAAACAGAAAGGCAAAAATAGCGCTATTTCAAACTTCTATTAAGGTTGCAACTATAAGAGGCTGTCCACAAGGAGGTGTTTCACCTCTTCTTTCGACTCTTGCAGCTGATGACGATTTTGCCAAAGTACTTTTTTATTTATCATTCAAAGAGCCCTAAACATCATAAATAACTGGTGTAGGGATAAGAGTTTATCAGTTATAATACCCTTTACAAAAACAGATGGTAGGACAAATTAGTTACAACAAAACTATGTTTGTTCTATCCATCATGTTTTATATATTTTATGTCTTGAGGGATGTTATTCTTATAGATTAGGTCCTTTCGACCTACTTTAAAGCGTAGTCCTTTTCTATCAGCCTTGGTTATAAAAATAGCTTTGACAATTGTCCATCGTTATGGAATATATCCCCATCATTCTGAAGAAAGTGGCATCTTTCGATAATCGGAATATTTTTATTTGATCTTCTGACTTTTTACCCCAAGTACAGTTCAACTCATATATACATACATACTTTAATTATCAATTCATTTTTAATAACTGCAAAATTAAATAAAAATCATATTATGTATTACCGTTACCGTTACCGTAACTTTGCTTATTAAAGTCCATGCATCACGTACTGCATTTAAATCAAAGACATTTAAATAGGTAGTAGTAAAAAAGTGTATATGTATACTTAAATCTCTTTGATTTAAATCAAATTACACTTCCCCGTTTTTAATAATTTTATTACGTAATTTATAAATTCTGCAATATCTCCAGGAAAAAACCAACACTAATTTCATTATTCAGTAGACGTAATTTGATATCCCGGATAAATTCATACCTTTTAATGTACCTACATATTTTCCAATCGTTTTATGCTTAAATATCTTTGCTACAACAGACGTGTTAACAAAAATCGTGCGTTTTTGCAAGCATTCCAAAAATGTTACTATTGGATGTTTGCGAACTTCATATTATTATGTCATGGTTCTAAATAGTCTGTAATGCTGTGACGTACTCCTTTTATTTTAGCGTTGACATATAAATATATTTTTATCGTAGACAGAGAAACCTGGAGAAACAAATTAACGCCTTCTTTCGCATTTACATACGAAAAAGATAGATTTATGCAAACGTCTTGCATAGAAATGAGACAGAGCGGTGTGATTGTTTGTCCCTTTCTCCGTGTCGGTTTTTTTTTTGTTTGGCAAACTACACTTTGCTAAACAACTTTGACAGTTCGTAGCGATCAAAGGAGTTTACAAGTTGGTTCAAGTGAGAAAAAAAGTGTTTTGTGAGCTTAAGATTGGTGAATCTTGTTCAGTTCAGATTTTAGAACAATTAAAAACTTTAAAAATGGTTAGATGTAGTGTCTTAGGATGTAAAAGTGATAGTGAACCTAAACTCAGCGGTATATCATTTCACTCGTAAGTATAGTACAATTTATCTGGTATTACGTATAAAATTCAATTGTTATTTTAAATTTCGTTACAGAACTATATAAATATACGTTTTAATTTTATCTAAATATGTTTAAAAGTCATAAAGATTGTTGTGTAACCTAAAACCAAGTTGAAAACCTCCTTATCGTCCTTTCTCAATCGAGGCCACGCTAATCATTAGTCTATAGGTTTCTCTGTCTACGATTTTTATGCTAATATGCTAATGTCTACTACAGTACTATGTGCCAAATCGATTGAGAAAAACGGACAATGACCTCAGATATGAGCCGAGTGTCAAAAGGTGTAACTTACAAAATCTCAATTTAGATGTGATAACAATATTTAAACATTGATATTATTCATACTTCTAGGTCAGCACATTTGTTTTGTTTTTTGTTTCTTAAATAATATTGTCTGTGGTTCCTATAAACATCATAAAATCTTACGGTACATCGCGAAAAATGTGTTATATTTTATATTTCAGTTTATGGTAAGTAACGCAGCAATTAATTTAATAACAGTTACATATTAAAAAAAATTGAAGTAATAATATAATCACCATATTGAGCTCTTGCAAATTCATCCCTTTAAAATAAACAAAACGCGCGTTACGTCAGTTCGTTCTAAAAGAAACGTGACAAAGGCAGCTGGAGATACGTCACCTTTTTGGGCCGGTCCGCATGCACCGAATAAAAGTAAAGTTCTTATATGATATTGAAAATAAAGTTTTATTTTTTTAATAAGTACGTACTTATTCGGTATCGTCATCACTCGAACCTTTATATGTGTTATAAATTAATACTTTTTGTTGTTAAATGAAAAAAGTATTTTGTAACAATAGATGATATTTCTTCTACAGCGTTCTTTTACATAACTTTTAATAATATTTAATAAATATTAAATATTATGAAAAAAAATTTAAAAAAATCATTATAAATAAAGAAAGTACTACATATAAAACATGCCTATATATTGAAGATTTGCAAACCCTGGTTAAACGACCGAAAGGTAATTGTCCGTTTTTCTCAATCGATTTGGCACATACTGTATATGTAAGTATCTTGGGCCAGTTTTTATCATGTTTCTATAAGGGTCTACCAAAACGTACCACAACCACGACCACAATCACAACCACATCACTTGGGCGTGCGCATTTTGCATTATAAGTGAATAGTACAATTTACATGTACCACTTTTTGCCGTCATTATCGACTGCGTCAGTGATACCGACCACAACGCAAGCACGACGCAACCACAACGGAACCACACAGAACTAGCCGCCGGCCAGATCGCAAATAGAACATTGCGTCGACGCCACGACTAGGGTTGCAACGCAACCACAACGCATCTGCAAAAAGCTGCAGGGACACTATTCACACGTGACCGAATTTTGTCGCTGCAATGTGGTGTGGTTGTGTGGGCGTGTTGGGCCCACCCTAAATTACTGTACATAGCCGAGGGAGAAAATCGGAAGAAAAATAACTTCCCGATTATCCACCTCGTCTAGGTTGGATAGAAGAACACGCGTTTCCGAGTATCCACCCTAGGGTGGATTTTTAAGGGTCGATAAACGGAATAACCCGCAGGAAAATTAATTTGTTCGAAAAATGTAAATGTTAACGTTTGTTTCTATACTATTAGAATTATAATTTATATTAATTAGATTAAAAACAAATAAACCACACCACATATAATGATTTCTTATATTTACGCGAACACTACACATTGATTAAAACTACTTTTAGGGATTTTATCGCGTTTATTTTACTTTTTACTATACTTTTTTATTTTGCTTTCCAGTCCCTCGTGACCATGGGTGCTGGAAAGCGCCCGAAACGTCGGGAATTAAAAATAAAAGTAATTAAAAGTAACATAAACGCGATAAAATCCGTAAAAGTAGTTTAATTACACCACAGATATTCCTAAAAATGGCAAAATTAAAAAAGAGGTAAAAATGTGCAAAAAAATTAAAGAGCAAACCACTGAGGCATTGTTTTGTGTATTAATAGGTATACTACTCTAGAAACTGACTTTAAACCTAACTACTCAATTAAATGACATTGCGTAACAAAAAACTTCATTTCAGTGTCAACTAGCGACATCTGGCGAGGGGATAGTCGTTAGCCCCTGTGTTACCCTTCATTAAAATAATCAGTCTATTAATTAATTTATGGAATTCCTTATTTTCCTTAAATTTTAAGGGAGATTCCGTCATGACTGAAATTCGGTCTGGATACCACTATTTATATATATTATTATTATTGTCTATTAAAATTTTCTCTTCTGGTTGGATTGTTTAAAATTTAAGAAAATGACAAAATATAAATTAAATATCGTAAAGTAATGAAATAAAAAGTATATGAATAAATAATAATCCAACCATATTCAAACCCTCGGCATCGGAGACCAAACTCTTGAGGGTTAGAGGCTTAGAGGGAAAGGCTAAGAAACTGACCGACAATGCACGTGGTGTCGGGGAGCACCGACTTTTGCTTTTGAGCCCAGAAGGCCCAAAATCTGCAGGATTAAACTAAGCGATCCAGTAATTTAATGTAACTAGTACCTAAAAGTGTATTGGAATGGATGGTTAAAATAATTTCAATATTAAGTAATTCGTCTTTAAATTAAAGGCGAGCAGAGCCGCGGGTAAAAGCTAGTAAATACACATTACTTAAATTACATTTGCTTTGGAAATTATTTTATTTTATTGTTATATTTACTCTTAGAGTAGTTACAGTATTACAATATTAAATTAGGAGGTTATTTGCATAATTGAAAGATTGAAATGGATTGAAAGCCTCCTTGATTGAAAGCAATTAACTTTTTTATAAATGTAAGCATTTTGACAACTGGTCCTGGTCGTCTATGGTCTATGGGTGCCGGAAGCCGGCTGCAGCGTAGACAGAGAAACCTGTCTACGGGCTTTCCTTATATTAAATTTACTATAAAACTAAACGCGCCCGTAGTAAAACTCTTTGTCTACGGACTGCAGTCTATAATAGGGTGCGTTCGGCAGAAAAAAAGTAGAAGGCTTCGCCTAAAATATTTTTCGGAGCACGATGTCTTCAGTAGCGTGACAATCCGCCATTTTGCTTTTTAATTTGTTTGTTTTGAAGTAGAGTTTTTTTTTTGCTTTAGTTGAAACTATACATGTTATAAAAATTGATTGGTGTTTTGTTGGACGATCGTTTTTTTTCTGCGACCTTTGGGAGCCGGTTTCGATTTTGAACCTTCGAAGCGTTTGTTTAAAAATTACCAACGACTGTAATAAAAAATTCCTCTTTTATTGTAAATAGAGAAACTTGACATTATAAATAGATAAATTTTCTTATTTCCTTGTAATATGGAAGCTTCAGAACTAGTTAATTTTAACAGGTACGTAAAAATACCAAAGTTCTTACTCTTAATTTTAAACTTGCGCGCTGTATTATTCTATTGATTTTTTACCAAAATAACTTCAGTATCATGTAAATAAATCATAAAGGTGACCTGCAATACACTGTGTATTTGTGTCAATGGTTTACCAAATTAATATAGACCTCTAGGAAATTTTTCAACGATTCCATAACGATTGACTTTGTTTAGGGTTTGTGAAACGGGTACTCGAAATTTGACGCCAGTGAAACCTAGACTAGGTAGATTTTTGGATGTTTATTCACCTGAGCATCTAAATTTGACGCCGAAAACCGTAAGTTGTTTGTAAATATAATTGTTTTTTATTTAATATTTTTATAATATTTTAACTAAAATGTTACAGAAACCTCAACTTGGTTTCACTGAAACGACTAATGAAAACCACAACTTCCTTACTCCTGCAAAAACATTGCAATATGACAATAAATGCAGGTGAGATTTAAAGAAATTTATGAATATTAATCATACTGTAAATTTACTTATTAAGATGTATAAAATTGTAAAACTTGTTGATAATACAGTATACATTCGTTATTTTAAGGACTGCTAAAGTCCACCATAAACTACAAGATGTTTGGAATCACTCATTTGAAGGTAATCAAAGCTTCCCACGTATAAGACGCAAGATACATCCAATAAGAATGGATTTAGAGACTCCTACTAAAGTGAAACAAACAACTGACTTAGTGAGAGGTAAGTCGTAATGTTTTCCCACTGCTGCAAATCTTATTATTTATTTGTTGTGCACTACATTTGGTAAATGCACTCCTAATCACAGGATTATATTATTAGTTATTATTAGTATTATATATTATTATATAATAGCAGATATTTCATTTTTGATACTGCTCCATATTCTACGCTAGCTGTTAATCTGGTTTAATAGTTTGTGCAACTTTGGATGATTAATCTGTCACACAATGTTGTCAGAAGTGTTAGATAAGTGATCATTATGCAATCTGGGGGCACGGCCATGCCCCGCCAAGTCGAGCAAAAAAGCGGCACGGCCGTACCATCCTTTTCTCGAAGCAATTCAGGCCATTTTCGACCCCCTATAACTTTGTAGTGGATAAAACTAGAAGCCTGAATTCAGTAACCGAGTAGGCATTGTATAAACATGGTATATTTCAAATTTCATTCAATTTGATCCAGTAGTTTAAGAATTATAACTAATCAAAATTTCTTAATTTTGTCACTCACTGACTGACCGATCATCAAAACTCTAAGGCACTTCTAGCAGATATAGAAGCTTAAAATTTAGAATACAATTAGAGTTTAGTGTACCAAGGAAAAACTAAAATATTTTTAAATTTCGGTCCAGTTTTCTAGATACATCAACTGCATACATAACTTTGTAATCCTATATGAATATATAGAATTACAAAGTTACATTTGCGGTGAATGAATCAGTGTTCTGGTATGTATAATAGGTGTAGGATGTATATGTATAGAAGGTATCGGAAAGGAATAAAACTAGGACTATCTTGTTTACAAAAAGAAATGAGATGCCATCAAAAACATAACTTGTAAAAAAAACCATGTCTCGCAACTCTGTTCTTCTTCCGTAAAAAGTTTTGAGATCTATGTAATACCAAGTCTGTTAATTTATTCACTCCCTACTTAAAGGTCGTTGTGTTTTAAGTTATTAATTTAAATTATTATGTAATTAGGTAAACGAACAATATTTTATAGTGACAATACCAATCTTAAAAATCTTTTATGTTTTAAATACATAGATTGACTTGGCAATCGCATTAAGCAATCTAATTTAATATAATATTATTCTAATTTAATATAATAGTATTACTTGTGAGATACATTGCGTTTTCATGGGATGGCCAAGTCAATCTATATATTTATAACATAAAAGATTTTTAACATTGAGATGGTCACTATAAAATGTTGTTAGGTTAGCTAATTACATAATAACTTAAAACAGAATGACCCTTAAGTAGGGACTGAATAAATTAACGGACTTGGTATAACATGGATCTCACAACTTTTTATGGTAGAAGAACAGAGTTGCAAGACTTGTTTTTTTTTTTACAAGTTATGTTTTTGATGGCATATTACTTAGCAATCTCCACAATTAATATTAATATGAATCCATTTCAAACTACCTACATTAATTCTAAATTTGAGTCACAATACTAAAGTGCGTATACTTGACACTCCCGGTCTCAGTTGATTACGAACAGTGGTGCTGAGAAGGTTATAATAGTCAAGTCTATTGTGAAATTAGGTGATTCTAAAGGTTGTGAGTATAGTTAAATTAATATATAGTCTTCTTTGTGAAAGTAACGTATAGTATCATATACAATTTAAGAGTGAAATTAAACAACGAACATAGTGATTAAATAGTTAACTAAGTGAGTTGTCGTGGCTTTGTTGGAGAAAAGCTGACAAATTCAGAAGTGGGATGAAACAACTCACACTTAATCGCAAGACATCATGTCTTAAAGTTGATTTGGAGTATACAAAGCAAAGAAGACTGCTAAAGTGAGTTTACTATGAACCAAGGTCAGTGACTTTTTTTCCTCTTTAATAATTCGTAATAAATTTGTATGTGGCCTGTGTCTGTGTTCATCTCATAAGTGGCAACCTGTTTTAATCTTCGAGCTACCACATAGTGTATACATAGTGTATACAGTTTGACATAATACAGTACAGTGAATATGATTTGACTAAGTGAAAAAAAAAACTATTAGGCGTGATTGAAACAATTCGTTTAGAATAAGATAAATTTAATCCTTTTTACTAAGATTGCTTAAATATAATTTCACAGCTTGTTTGTCTGTCATATAATATATCATATATCTAAGGTACCTATCATAAGATTATAATTATAATATTTGTAACTATAAATATTTGTCTTCCTTTAATTTGTTACTGTTAGTTTAGTATACACAAGTGAAAAATATCCTTAATTTTGAACAATTGAATTTTTGGGTTTGTTGGTTGGTAACTTATATTATGGGATTGCCACGTAAGCGACGTAATCATGCTTGTAAACATTATGGAAGCTCGTCAACATCAATCAATTCTTATAGCTCTAGTACTCCTGATCGTCGTAATAAGCAAAGACGCCATGGTAGGCAAAAACATAATGGTCCCCATCAACCCATTGTCGACACCACGGTCATCATAAATCTCAACATGGTAATGACCGTCGATCTCGAAGTAGAAATCGTAAAAGAAGCGTTTCAATAAGAACTCCGCTGTTGCCCAGGGTTCGAACAGTGTCACCACTGATAAGGATGAACTTAAATGATATGCCTCATAACGTTACAAGTGTGAACCCTCAATCCCTACCTTATGTTATGGTATCACCGGTTACTTCAGGTTTGACAAACAGCTCAATGGCTGTTCCTGTTACTCCTAATGAAGGACAAATGTGGTCTAATAATATAACAGCAAATTTTAATGTTATACCAGAATTTGATCCTTCCGATGATAGCCAAAGCATTGAAGGGTGGATTCAAAAGTGATGGCGAAAAGTTCATATAAATATTCTTGAGGGATTTAATTTTAAAATTTAGAAAATTAAAAGTAAAAGTTTGTCATAGTTATTTAACCAACCAGTGTTAGACTTTATAGTATAACTTTTCCTCAATAATAAACTTTTTCGGTCAATTTACCAATTTACCACTATACGCTCATTATATCCAATTAATAGAACTTACTTAATATGCATTATATTTAATTTTTTGTACCTATCGTCGTCGAATCGTCAAAAGGACGATACCGTAACGTTACTCTGGGTGGTTCCTAAGTCTGCAAGATGGAAAATACTGAAAATTAATCATGACAGTAACTGTCATTTTGGGTTTGAAAAGACATACAAACATATCAAAAGGATCTCCTGGTTCAAAAATATGAAAAAGTTCACTAAAAAATATTGCAAGTCTTGTCTAGAATGTGCTCATGATAAAATTCCAGCCGGACCAAGGGAAGGAATGCTTCATCCTATTGAAAAGGTAAGCAAACCATTTTACACCATACATGCGGATTATTGCGGGCCATTCCCGTTAAGCAAAAAGAGGAATCAATATATATTGGCAATTATTGATTCTTTTACAAAATATATATATCTTAAAGCTGTCCGTGATTGAAGAAGTAAAACGAGTGTCGAAATTTTTGAAGAATACTTTTCATTATTCGGGGTGCCGCGGCGGTTAATTACAGATCGCGGTACCAGCTTCACTCGTAATGAATTTAGCAAATATGTAATGGGGAAAGGTATAAAACACATATTAAATGCAGTCGCTACACCTCGAGCAAACTGTCAGGTCGAACGATATAAGAAAACTCTGGTAGAATCACTCGCTTCTGCTAATCATGGACATCCTGAAAATGAATGGGATACCGTATTGTTTAAAGTGCAATGGTCGTTGAACAACACAATTAACAAAGGCACTGGGAAAACTCCTGCTGAGTTTTCCGTCGTGGACAGACTCTAGGAGGTACATAACCCTAAGATTTTGAATTATTTAAAAGAGACTGTCTGTTGTGTTGGGAGAAGAAAAAGTAAAATATAGAAGTGTCGTTGTGTTTTTGGCTATTTCTTATTCTGAGAGCTGTTGAATTACCTTTTTTTTGTTTATTATTTCTGTTGGTGTTGGTTTTAGTAGTTATAAATCCGTAAGTGTTTAGTAATTGTGCCGTTTTATATGTAATTAGTTAGAATAAAATGGAGGAAGATCCTCCCGATCCCGACGGGGTTCCACGTGACTCCCATACTGGTACGAAAAAAAATAATAATATTCCTATCGAAATTGATCAGTCGAAGCGTAAAAGATTGCAAGCAACCAATAACTCAGGTCATCCTCAGAAAAGATTAATTACAGATCCATCTCAACCTGTTCCATCTATTCAGACCTCTTATACCCACCCTGAATACATAGAAAAAAAACATAAATATTCTAATAACGACAATGCGCCGTTTATTGTACATGTAAGTAAGAGAGTAGATGATTTATCAACTGGAGTAGTTTTAAAACCGATAAAGTTTGGTCATTTTCTCTACCATAATAATATTAAAAATGTTGTAAGTGATGGTGTTAAGCGAGTAGGACGCAATAGAATTTCAGTCGAGTTTAAAAGTGCAGCTGATGCAAATTGTTTTATTGAGAACCCAGCCCTTGCAGGTGCTAAATATGATACTGTAATCCCTTCTTATAATGTCACACGCATGGGAATAGTGAGGCAGGTCCCTGTAGAATGGACATTAGAGGAACTCATCTCATCAATCGAGGTCCCAGCTGGTTTTGGCTCAATTATTAAAGCTCGCCGATTTAATAGAAAGTCAGTTAATGAAAACCAAAGCACTGTGTGGATTCCCTCTCAAACAGTTGTTTTGACTTTTTCCGGTCAGAAACTTCCTTCTAACATTTATTGTTTTTTTACCTCAATGCCTGTTGAGCCCTACATTTTACCTCTTATTCAATGTCACAAATGTTGTCGTTTTGGGCATGTAACCTCACAGTGTAGGTCATCTTCCCGGTGTTTTGTGTGTGCTCAAAATCATGAAGGAATATCATGCACAAGACAGTCTCCCACGTGCTTATTTTGTTCAGGATCTCACACAGCTAAAGATCCTTCCTGCCCTGAACACTCTAGGCAGAGATCTATCAAACTTACCATGTCACAGGAAAATATTTCCTATCTAGAAGCATCTGCCCGTTTCCCTTATG